TTTGTTTTTCAAATACACACGTGACTTTTTGGTTTTTTGTTTGATTTTAGAAGTCAAACGAAACCATCCGGCAATACCAGCAGATACACTCCTCAGATTTATTTTCAATGAACCTTCCATAGTTCTCGATAAAGCAAAACGCACCCGTTGATCAAAGAGACCAGAAATTCAATTGCAATACGTTGCCTGGAATAAAACAGCTTAGAAAATTACAGGAAAACTGTATGACCAACCTTTTTCCATAGTATAAAATTATATATGATAACAATCTATAATTTTCAAACCCGTACCTAGTAAATGTTCTAATTCAGATCTGAATTTTTTTTTTTCAGATCTAAGTTTCAGATCTGAAATGGATTGTGAAATGTTAAAATAACGCTTGGATACCTTAGGAATGGGTAATTTCAGATCTAATTTCAGATCTGAAATTTTGTTTTTCTTGGTTATTTCAATACTGAAAAATATATTTCAGATCTAATTCAGATCTGAAATTTAGTTTTTCTTGGTTATTTCAGATCTGAAAAATAAATAGTTCTGACACAAATTTTGCTAATTTTGATATTTTTGTAATTGATTGCTTCTGCTAGCTACTTGCAGATACTCAGCAAAGTCTCCGATGGGAGAATGCCGAAATACGTTTCTCCAAGCATGAGATAAACATTGGAAACGCATAAGAAGCGCACAAAATAAAAAAAATTGATAGGTCTTCTAACAATTTTTGAAAACTTTTTATCACACTTGAATGAGAAATTTATTTCGAAAAAAGTAATAATTTCGGAAAAACTGCTATAGAATATCGACGAAAAAAATCTAAATACCAAAATTTTTCAGTGTCTCTGCGAACAGAATTGAAAAAGCAAAAAAATCAAGATACGAATTTTACAAAAGAAAACAGTTGATAGTTATTCATAAAACAGTTTCAGTTATCGAGCTAGCATGACATGCACTTTCTTATGTGAAATTTAATTTCTTAACAATCGCGGAACCCACAAAAGTTTTCTCCAATCTGAAAATTTTTGATGCCTTGTCATCAAAAATATAATTATATGTTTCACCAATGATCACTTTTTGCAAACTCAAAAGGTTTGAGATCAGTCATTTTAGCCAATTTGAGGTAATAATGGCGCGCTTTTGACCAATTTTTTTAGTGCGTAGTTTAAGCAGCATCATGCTGGCTACTTCCAAATTGAATTGAAGCAATGTAATTGGTCCAAATTTAGGCGCTGTTTTATAAAAACAAATCACATGAACTTGACTTACTTGGTGTGTGCGGGGGTTGCAATTTTTTCTTGTTTTATAGTTTTGATAGAAAATTATTTCAGATAACTTAAATGCAGTTGCAAGAGAGTTGAAAATTGATACGAGAAATCTCTTATTAGGTTTTTTTTGGAAAGTAATAGTGGATTAGGACAGTTTATATTTTGTGCTCCATGAGGCTGCTATTTCTATTTGCAATTATTTCCATGAGGCGCTAATATTTGCGGGTCTTATGCGTTAAACGACCCAAAATTAGGAAAATAGTCAGAAAAATTATTTCAAATTGAAAACACGTAATCAACATACAAATATTGTCTGTCTGTGTGAAATTCTCAGTATCAATCGGAATGGCTGACCTAGTTGCTCGAATTTGATTGGCTAATATTAGCCAATCAGGATCAGTTTCAGTTTTAGTTTTCATTTTGCTTCAATTTTGATTTTTGGGCCGTTTAACGCATAAGACCAATAATTGCAAACTGTTTAAATTTCTCATTTAAATTTTGAAAAAAATCATTCGCCGCTTAGGTTCTAATAGCACTAAAAAACATCGAGCTTTAATTAGCTCAAATGGGCCAAACTTTCCAACCCCCATTACTTTATAAAACATTGTCCTAGGAACAATTTTTGAAGTTATGCTCAGGAGATTAGAAGCTTTCAGGCCGATGAATTTTAAAAATCGGTCTAAGAATTCAAGTTGAAAATTTTAAATTCGAACGAAGAAAAACAAACCACCCCGAGCGCAATTATTCTATCATTTTTTTTGGAAGCCGGCGCGAAAACTGTTTTGAAATATTTTCTCCGAAAGTCTGCAAAACTTAGGCGTTTGTGATGCCGTTGATGTTTTATGAGACTAGATTTCAGAATTCAAGTTATGTTTAAAGCTATTTCCAGAAAACGTATTGCTGACAAAAGTCACAAATAGTTTAGTGCTGGTTAGTTTTTGTTTTGATTTTTCCGTGTTTGAATCGCAGTTTTTTTAAAACAAATTGGAAGTAATTCTCATCGTTATGCGTTTTTTCTTTAAAACTATCTGTTTATAATTTGATTTGAGGCTTACTGTTGGTTTAATTTCTTTCAAAAAATGAATAGTAGGATAGCCAAAATTTGAGTTTAGTCGATCAAACCGACCAGGGTTGACAACAGACTTGGTTTCTTCTACAAAGTTGATAGAAGACATCGTTTGATCCACTAAGTTGAATTGCGAACACGTTGGTTGCATAGTTCGAAGTAGGTTGGAGCAATTTTACTTGATTGAACACAGTCGAAACTTGAGAAAATTTGACCAAACGACTGAAACCTATCCAGTCAAATTTCAAACATCTGATTTTTGGTTGAACCGATCAAAACTTAAACCGCAAACCTCCACCTGGAAAAAAATTAGTTCAACTTCTTACCAATTTTTTTAGCAATTTTTTTTCAACAAAAATTTCTAGCAATCTTCATTGTTTTCCATGTCAAAACTCTAGATTTGCTTGCAGTGAAAACAGAAAATAGTGAGCAAATTTTCAAAAACTTTTACGTAAATTCAAAAGGTTATCAATCGTTTTTTTTTCATTGGCTAAAGCAATCAATATAAAATTCAAATATCCAAGCTTTTTTATGCTCAGAAAATCTAAAGCATTGTTTATATTCTAGATAAAGTATAAAATTCCAACCTAAATGACTTTATCCTGTGTTAGATGCAGGTGTTACTCGCATCGAAGCTTCAGCTAAACAATTGGTTATCGAGGCAAATTTAGACATTTTAATGGTTTTTTTAATTCATTCTGATCGATTATTTTCAAAAAACAGAAATCTAATTTAAACCATTATAATCGTTTAAAAATTCTTTTTGTTTTCAGTATAGTCGATATAAATTTTGAAGAATTTTACTCTACTTACTGCAGCTTTCTGCAAATTTCGAGCGCGAACGAAAATGTTGACCCCCATAATCACGGGTTCACTAGCCCCCATGTCCCCCTCCACGCTCCACTACGCCCCAAACCCCCCCCCCCCCCCCCCACATCCTCCATTCAACCCCACGTCCTCCATTATGAAGACCCTACCCCAACGTCCACCGCCATACCGTTACGTCCCTCACTCTGCCCCGCCCCCCTTTTTTACAACTTCCCCCAACCGCGTTTATCCCAACCCCCGCCAAATACCTTCATCAAACACCCCCACCCCAAGACCACAAACGCCCTTACCCCATTGCCCACCAGAATAGATAACTTTGTGGTAGAGATTAAACATGGGGAAGTGTGGGGTAGGTTGTGGGGTTTGCAAAAACATTAATCAAAACAATAACAAAAATACGTACGTAATTTATCATGAAATGCGATTCAAATTAAGAAAAAATGAAAATATGTGAAACCACAAAATAACTAACTCAAGTTCAAAATGGTTACCAACAACTAAAAAAAGCACACAAATTTTTTTTTTTAAATTTGATTATAAATAGTGTTATCTATTATAATGGGTAATCTTTCGTTCGATAACATTTTTCTGAAAATTATTTGAAAATAATTGATTGTAATCAAGTAAAATGGCTTTTTTTGCTTCAAAAAACATTAACAATATAATCCATTTGTAATCAATTATAATTTATTCAATTTGTAATTTTTTTATTCAATAATTTCGACTATTTTTGAATTTTAAAGAGACAATTATTTCGAATATTTTTCATTTTTAGAGAGACTATAAAAATCAATATATTCAATTATTATCCATGAAATTTCAGTGTGGGTAAATTATTACCATCTAATAGATAAAAATTGCAAATAACCTCAGAAATTACAGACACCGAAGTTTTGTCGTTGGTTTTCTCCAAATGAAACCAATTGTAATTGATTATATAATTAACAAGACTGCTCGTAACAGGGCGAAGCCCTGAATGTTCCGACTGCTTTTTAAGGTTTATGGAGCAGCAGTTATAACATAAAAAAATTAAATGAAATAAAATATAATGAAATTTTTTTTTCTAAAATTTGAAATTTTTTATGAAAATCATCACCCCACACGCCATTTAAATTACAAAAAGATAGATTTCGTTCCTTGTAACAATTCAATTATGGCAAATAAGCTTCGTTCAACCAATTTGGAACGATTTATAAGAAGGATTAAATCTCTGCTTACGCGTTAATAGCGCGAATTATATCGCTCGTTAATTGTCCCAAATTGGCCAAAATGGCAATCTTTAAACCCTCATAACTTTACAAAAAATGATCACAGAAGAAATATCTTTTCAAATTTAAGCTCAGGACAACAATACCTTTTGAATGATAAAAAAAATTCCATCAAAAATTGCTAGTTAAAAAGTCGAAATTTGTCTGAAGAAAAAAAAAAACCCACCCCGAGCACAAATATTCCGTTACTTTCGTATCGAAAGTCGGAACAATAATTTTGGACCACCACAGATATTGATCAGCAATCAGATCCTTTTGTTCAACCGATCAAAAGGAGTTGGGCAAAAATCGAACAATAACACACACAAAGACAGACACACACACACACACACACACATACGTACACACACAAGTCCACAGAGAGAGACGCGCACGCATGTATGCACGCACATTCGCTCACACATAACACACCAGAGATTTAAAATATTTTATAGATTTTAGAAAACTTTGAAGTTTTCATGCGCTTTCAAAGAGATTGTCATTTTAATTTTCAACTATCTATTACTAGTGATGTGGTTTAATGTGGTTTTTTTCGTCTCCTTCAGTAAATAGATGGCCAGTTTCTTTTATCAAAGCAGACTGCAGAACACGTTTAGTTATCAATTTGAAAAAAGAATGTGTAATTGTTGGTCAAATAGTTTTAAAAATGTACTAATGGTCACCTCTTACGCAAGAAACAAATTCGCACAATTTTTATTATACAAAATAGCTTAAGCTGTTATATGATCATGAAGACTTTGGCGTGTTCTCTTTTCGTTTTTGCGTTCGTGCTTGGATTTGCTCACGGGGAATATGGCTGTTCAAGAGATGAAGAGTGCGAATGGATGGACAAGTACGTGCATCTGGCCGAAGATGTTGGACACAAGTGCTGCTCCGACGACAAGTGCCGAGAAATATGTTCCAAGTACGTTCATCCAATTTTGAATTTCATCAAACCTTCGAGATTCCAAAGAAAATTTAATTCAGAAACAACTGACTCTCTCGGCTTCTGCTTCAAAAAGCTTGTTAAAAACTGAATCAAATTATGTATCTGAATCTGCTCGTAACATTAGAAATTAGCATGCAGTGCATTATGCCTTTTTCAAATATTTTAAGGCATATAAAAAACGGTGTAGTAAAAAGTTGTGTCAATATATCAATGAGCAGAATTTGCATGTGTTCTTTTAGGGATATTCTGATGTTTGTTCTCTTTTTCCTCATCATTCCCATCGTGGGCTGTCTTCTCATTGCAACTTTTGTTGGTCTCATTGTGTGCTGTGTGCTCAAAAACCAAAAAAGTAAGTCAAATCAGTGGGACTTTATTGTACATAATTGTACATAATTGTTGTACATAATTGGTAGTTGTAACAAAATGTTGAGCGCGCAAGATGTATCGAAAGTTTTAAAATCAGCAAAAAAAATTGTAGCACATTTTTCTGGAGTGCGCCTCTAAAAGTTTGTGTATATAAATGTTCAATGGCCTCTTAAGCAATTTTTGGGGATACTAAAATGAATGCCACAAAATAGTAACGGGGAAACTGTTAATGGTCAGAGGGCCGAATCAGTAAGTATACCAAAAAACAAACAGACAGACCAGTTGGGTGCTGTTTGGGTGCTGTTTGGCCGAGAACAGTGCTGTGGGTGCTGTTTGGCCGAGAACAGTTGTCTTTAAATAGTACCAAAGGGGGCAACCCCCTCCCCTCAGGAATTCTACCCCCTGCTGACCCAAAGGGTCACCCCTTTGTACTATTTTAAGATATCCATTTTTGGTGAATGATCCTAAAAATTTTTTTAAGGGCGCCTTGAACGCCAGTATATACTAATTTTGAAGGAGAGCGCGCGCGGAAAAAACGCGGTATTTTTGGTCAAAATTTTCCAAAAATTGCCTAAAAACGTCTTTTATGGCCTGTTTTTTTTCAAAATTATGCCTGCCAGAAAATTTGGTCAAAATGGAGTCTTTATAGTGGTTTAGGAGAGCTCAGAAAAAAAGGGAGATCCGCCCCTGAAAAGGGGATTGAAGTCCTCTGAAAAAAAGCCCAACCATCAAATCTAACTTTTCTGAGACATTTACGAGTTTTCAAAATAATAATTAATTTAACCGCTTTAGGTTTGAAAAAATATATATTTCAGGTAAGAATACTTCAAGCGGAAAGTATCGAGCTGGTGGACCTCCCCCTACCCTCAGCCAGAGCCCCAAAGAAGCCACGTCTCCGCCTGCACGACAAATGTCCCAACCTCCCCCTTATGAGAGTGGTGCGAGTGAGAGGCACTCGGCGGAGTCCACGAGCAACCCCGGAGCTTGAAAGGGGAGAAAAACTCAACGGGGTTTGAAATAACCGATTCCCAGAAGATTGAAAAAAAAAAATTGCAAAATATATCGAAACAGGTTTCTACAGACAACGAAGTAGAAAAAAATCTGTTTTGAAACATGCTGAGCTCTTTTAATTAGTTTAAACTAGATTTCTACTCATTGTTAATAAATTATTTAAGATTTGAGTTTTTCTGAAAAAAAAACTTAATTTAAGTCTTTTAGTGCATCGATAGGAATATATTTTTGAATGAAAAATTAGTATAGCCCGGGACTGCATAACTGGTACAAAACGAACATTCAATCTCGAAAAGGTGGAAATCCAATTTGCAGAGAAAAAAAGAGTAGCGCTGAGTGTTCCGACCAGTTATCGATGCGAATAAAATCATGAAAAACACGATTTGTTTCTAAATTTCATTGTTTTTTCATATTGAGACGTTACATATACAATTGAAGAATGTTAATCAATCGTGTGTCAAGTGAAAAATTGTTCGTCTTGGAAATGAATAATGTCTGCTTTTCACCAAATTAGGGTTTGACTTAAATTCGGACAGTTTATCTCGAGAACTTCACTCGAGAACTTCGAGATTTTTATCTGGAGAACTTCGAGAAGAAGCCACGTCTCCGCCAGCACGACAAATGGCCCAACCACCCCCTTATGAGAGTGTTGCGAGTGAGAGATATTCGGCGCAGCCCGCGAGCAACCCCGGAGCTTGAAGGGGAGAAAAACTAAACAGGGCTTTGAAATAACCGATGCCCAAAAAAACACATCGCAAAAATAAATCGAAACAGGTTTTTACAGACAACGAAGTGGAAACAAACTGTTTTGAAACATGCTGAGCTCTGTTAATTAATTTGAACGAGACTTCTACTCATTGTTAAAAAATTATTTAAGATTAGAGTTTTTCTGAAAAAAAAACTTAATATAAGTCTTTTAGTGCATCGATAGGAATTTATTTTTGTATGAAAAATTAGTATAGCCCGGGACTGCTTAACTGGTACAAAACGAACGTTCAGGCTTGAAAAGGTGGAAATTCAATTCGCAGAGAAAAAAAAAGTAGCGCTGAGTGTTCCGACCAGTTATCGATGCAAAAAAAATCTTGAAAAACACGATTTGTTTCCAATTTTCAATGTTTTTTTTCATATTGAGACCTTACATATACATTTCAAGAAAGTTAATCAATCGTAAATCAAGTGAAAAACTGTTCGTCGATGAAATGAATAGTGCCTGCTTTTCACCAAATCAGAGTTTGATTTGAATTCGGACAGTTTATCTCGAGAACTTTTTTCGAAATAACTTGCCAAAAACCCATGCCAACCCAAAGGGTCCTAAGTACACCATTTTTTTTGGACACAATTTGTTTTGGTGCATTGATTGAAACTCCTTTTTCAAAGATACGAGTTGTCTTGATTGATTTTATTTATGATGTGAATTGCATTATCTTATTCGTATTTTATAATTAATTTATTTGTCATCATAACTGGTACTTACTTATGACCTTGATACGTTCAGTCCCTTCGGCGGAGAGAATGCTGTTTTACTTTTTAATGTTTTAACTTTGAGATTAATCCATTTTTAACCTACAATTTTATCTATACATAAGTAGAACTAGCTGTAACGAAGAAATATTTTATCATAGCGCATTCAAACAGTAGCGAATCAAACGTGAGAGGTATACCTTCGTTTTAGCTAAACCATACGGTGGAGCCACCAATTCCCTGAGAGGAGTGGAGCGATCTGTTCCAACTGGCAGTAATCGCAAAGGAAAACATCGACATAGACAACCTTCTAAACCCGATAGAACCACACACACCGACTATCCGTGAACAAAAGAGATATGACAATGAAAAGACAGCAGTTGCAAGACATTGGATTTGCCAATTACATAGATTGGTCCTACCTAAATTTTTTCTAAAGAGTTTCCAACACTTTAGTGAAGTTTTTCGCAAGACAAATCCAGAATTTAATTTAATAATTGTTTTCTAACGGTATCCAAGACACGCGGTCAATTTGTTGAAAAATAAAGGCAATTTGAACTGAAGTGGGGATATGGAAGGTGTTGTTAGATGAATTTCGATTTGTAACTGAGTTATTTGGACAAGACATCACTTTATTTTGGCGAGTTTTTTTGTGAATATTTATGCTCGGGTGGTTTTATTTCTTCTGATAACTTTCGACTTTCTAACTAGCGGATTTTGACTAACTGTTTTGATATGTTTAAAAAGTATTGTTGTCGTGAGCTTAATTTTGAAACAATATTCTATCTGTGATTGTTTTTTGTAAACTTATAGGGGCTTAAAGATTGCAATTTTGGCCAATATGGGACAATTAACGCGCGATATATTCGCGCTATTAAAGCGTTAGCGGCGATTCAATCCGTCTTAGAAATTGTTCCAAATAGGTCGAAAGAAGCTTATTTGCCATAACTGATTTGTTACTGAGGGCGAAATATATCAGTTTGTACTTTATATGGCGTGTTGGGTGATGTTTTTCATCAAAATATCATTTTTTTAAACATTTTGTTTTATGGTATTATAATTAATTTTTTGGAAGACGAGGAGATCGCGTAACTCGTGGCATAGCGGCAGGGGTGGATAATTGTTTATTTATTGCCAGTAACAATCTGAAAATTTAATCAAATTATTTTTGTCTTAAGCTACTGTATAGAAACTAAAACGCAGTCCGAACATTGATGCAACCAGTCTTGTTGTTTCGACTTTCAAAGAAAATCATGGATTATTTGTGCTCGGTGTGGTTTGTTTCCAGGCAATTTTTGACTTTTTCACTAGCAGTTTTTGACGACGTTTTTAAAAATCAACCAAAAAGTACTGTTGTCCTGAGCTCGAATTGAAAAATTGTTTCACCCGTGATCAATTTTCTCAAAGTTATGGCGCTTTACGTATTGCTATTTTGGCTTTTGAGTGACTATTAACGCGTTTTTTTTGGTGCTGTTAACGCGTAAACTGAGATTTTTTTTCTTTTTTTGAAAATATTTCTCTATCATTTTATTTAAAGTACTTCATAAAAAACAAAAGGCAGTCGGAAGATTTAGGGCTTCATCCTGATACAAGCAGTCTTGTTTGGTTTGTTTTCAGTAGAAACAAGCTCCATGATTTGCGTTCCGTGATTTTTTCGAGGATGAAAAAAAACCACAAAACCACAATTAAAAAGGGAAAATTTATTGATAGACAATCTAACTTTTCTCACGAAATTATCTAATTAACTTAAAATTTAAACTGTAGTTTTCTTGTAACTCTCGGATTGGGGTTGTCAAAAGGTTTAAAAATTAACAAGAAAAAATGCTCAAAAATAAACTTACTGATATTTCCAAAAACAAAAAACGGGTTTTTTTGGGAAACTCCATATTCTTAAACTATAAAAGTGTCAAACAAACTATGCAAAACTTGCTGAAAAATCATTTTTTTTTAAATTTCTAATATTCAAAAGCCACAGCGAAAAGTTTGAACACTCATAAGCTGCGCCGCAGAAAAAAAAAGAATCAAAGAAAAGTGGAAAGTAACTTGCGTCGCTCTGTTTCTTGGAATACCCCAGTCTTAAACAGATTGTTGACTACTTGTGTTTCAAAATTTTTTTAAATTCAATAAAATTTTTTAAGGGAAATTTAAATATAAATCATTACTGAGTGAGCTGATACAAGAGCCAAGCTTCTTATCCTGAAGTTTAGGTAATCCCCATTCCTCCTCGTTTGTTCTCTCTTTGCTTTTGTTCTTTTGTCTTATTTTTTGCTACAATTCGATTTTTGGTCGTCTTTTTTTGCATCTTCTCGACTTCTGTTCTTGACCGCTGCTCCACTTTGTTTTTTTTTGTTTGCCTTGCTTTTTGTTGTTTTTCGGCCCTTGGTCCTCTTTATTGGCGTCTTCTTTTATCCCTGCAAATTATATCAGTGTTTTCTACATGTCTGGTGTCTGTTTATTTTGGACTTTATTAGCTCCAGATTTGCTGATTCGCTCCTTGTGGAGAGGTTTGGTTTCTTCTGGTCTTGTTCTCTCTCAGATTAAGTTGTTTCAAGAAGTCTAGGCATGGCTTGACTTCTTCTGTGTGCCTTCTCTCAGGCTGATTTTCTATCTCCTCTATTAGTTGTAGGAACGAAGGTACACCCTCTTGGCTTGGCGATGGGTTAGGTTTTTTTGTATTTTTTACTGAATTGTCATTATCAGTATTGCTTTGTCGAATTTGGTTGCCAGTGTTCGTGACTTGATTGCCAATACGTCATGCTAACGTGGGTGGCGGCGTTTTTCTTTGCCTCGCTTCTTAAGCGCTTGTTCTTGTTCCTCAGTGTTTTCTGAGGACGTCGAGATTTCTGAGTCGGATGAAGACGAAGGAGGCAAATTCAGATTTATGGCGTCTTTCGGTTTTGGGGTCCTTCCCGTTATCTTTATAATAATAATAATAAACAAGGATTTAGACATAAAGCCATGGGGCTAAAATGCCCCGCGTTGGGAGTTTTAAACTGAGTTTTATAGTTTCTTTGAGTTTACACAGCTATTGCAGCAGTTTATTCTCCATGTGCATGGGACACTTTCCTCATATTTACTGATGAAATAAATCCAGAAAACGTTTTTGAGGCTTGATTTGAGTCTTTCGTATTTCATCGCAAACAGGTCTTCTTCTTCCTGAGTCTGTAAAATTTATTTCTTTGTTATTATGATTGGATTGCTCTTTACTTTGTGTTTTGTCAGATTTCGCTTTTTTTTGTGTTACGGGCTCCTTTTACCGGATTATTTTGCCGTCCGACTTTTTCCCTGCTGGAACATTCTACCGGCTGGTCATGTGTTGGAGTGATCTGTGATGTCTAAAAATTGGTAATTATTGTAATGCCGTGCTGATTTGTAGGCAAAAAAATTGTTTGTTCAGCCTATTAAGTCTAACTCTAAGAGTTTTTTTCGGGTTTGTTAAAAGGACTGTAGATTGTTTTCCAATTTTTTGTATCAATGCGGTGATTGGCCTATATAAATACAATTTTTACTGTCCTATCTTTATATCTTGCTTGGCTGCTAGTGGAAATCTAAGCTTTTTTGGTATTCTCGCTGTTTTTCGTGCCACTTGTTTTACTTCCACAATTAAGTTTTTGTTCAATGATTTTTGCTTCCCTAAACTTGTGCTATAGGCAATTTTTAAGGACCAAAAGTTTGATGATTTCTGCTCGGTAACCTCTATATCCAAATT